TATATAAGTTTCGTGTGTGTATGTGTGTGTGTGTGTGTGTGAAACTTCACCTTAAAGGCCTGCATGTCGGAAAGGAGTTGAGAACATCCTGCACCAACGCTGAGCAAATAAAAACAGGCAACTAGTGTCATAAAATGCCATTGGAGGAAATGAAAAATAATTGAAACGGTTATCTTCAATGTCATTAATAGAACAATAAGCAGATATAGAATGTTGAACCAACAATTACGAACAGAATCATAGTTCACGAAGAAAAACAGGTGGAGAACACGGAGATATCAGAACAAAATTTTCCAACCAAAGATAAATTTGGAGTTGATATCTCACCCTAATTAGAAAAGAAAATAGTGGATCAGCATGCACAACATTCATATACATGATCAAAAGAAACAAAATAACTGATTAACTTAGAAGTCAATCTAATGTTTTCTCTTCTTTTATTTAAGTTGATCTAATATGTTGTTGTATTTTACAATATAAAGTTTCATAAAGATCAGTTTGACAATCCTTATTTTTCAATTGGTTCAGGTTTAAACTGCACAAAGTAAGTGGGTCAGTGAATGAATAAGTTTTAGTATAAACTGGTTTACGGTGTTTGACATATGAATGAATGTGTGAGCTTTTGACACTGAAACCAAGAGGATCAAGAAAACAGTAGATATTAAACCACAGGATAACATCTGGATCAAAATAATTAACGATCACATTTAGAAGACTACTACATCAATTTCATAACATATCAAAATTAAAGGACATCAATTTACTTAGTCATTATATAAGCTCTAAATGCCCTCAATAAACATATAATTATCTGTCTTTTATTTTATCCTTCCTTTTTCAGAGTTCCAAAAGAAATTCAATAGTTCATTGAGGACTAATTGTTGACAAATATTGTGTTCTATATAAAACATAAGATGATAATAAGACATTTTCACTAGAAATTAGAATATCAGTAAATATTGTAAATTCAACGTATTGTGTGCAATAAATTACATCGACTATACAAGGTAAACATGAAACTCCATATCATCAAAGCATCAGTGAATTAAGTTCTTTCTCTCTCTTTTTCTTTTCAATCGACAAGACATGCTATTTTACATTCAACATCAACATCACATATAATTTAGCAATTGAGAACTAGTTGATGAAACATGTTTTAGTAGGCAACAATACGTCTGTATGAGAATTTATAAGTTCTTATTATCTGAACATCATATACCAGGATTCCTTTCAGAACTTGTGGAGTACGCTCTGATTTGAGGGAAACAAATCATTCCAAGGCTTATTTACTTTTACTGACCTGCCAGTTCGTAGTACAAAATCCTCTGTTTCTTTTATAAGATCTTCTGTTAACAAAGGCAACTCCTACATACATAAATACGCATAAACTTAGCATGGGAGAAGAATCTAAAGCCTATAGATAATTTCACAATTTTGCATACTCTATTTATCAACCAAACCTGAGTCACAGGTGTATATATAGGTTCACTAGTTTCCAGCATTGTTAAGTTGTCACATTCTTTATCTGCTCCTAATCGAAGAACAAGTTCGCCAGACTTAGTCATAGCATACATACGAGTAACTATGGGAACTGTGCCTTCAGAACATGAAGACTCAATATTTGAGCTAGATTGACCCACAACAGACTCTAGTGACTCAGAGGCAGCAAACCAGCGTATTTTTCGCGAAATGCAACAGTTGATGACCTGTAACTGTTGATGTAGAAGACACGAATTCAGGTCTGGGATCTCATCAGGTGGAATGCCAGGAATATATTGCCTTTCGGACCAACGTCTTCTCAGCTGCATGGTAAATGATTCAAAAGTACTTCATTAGCTGATAACTTACTGAAGAGAAAAAGCACGAACATATTATATTAAAATATTGCTCAATGAAGGCTGGTGGGTACATTAAGATCAGTAAATCAGCCATTATGCCTTTTTGAGTAGTTAGAGAAATAATTTCTTTTAGTTTTTAGCCAGTTAACAACTTGTCCTCTAGGCAAAATTCTCTTGTTCTATCTAAAAGTATACAGATGTTCTATGCATCAGAAGAAATGAAGGTCATACAGATTGCATCACCTAATGTGTAAAAAATAAAAATAAAAAACAACTCTGAAGGGTAGTTTCTAACCTATAACGTCAACACTGCACCTTTTTATTTGTAAAGTAGGCTTTTGGATGCTGATGCAAATAAAACTATCTTATTGTCACAGGTAAATGTTGACCGACCATGATTTAGAATCCAGTCACCTTTTTTCCCCAATCTTCTACCTGTGTCCAGGTCTTTGGATTTGTATTGGAAATGGATCATAGATCCTCTATAAGTAAGAATGCTAGGACAATGGAGTAGGCAAGTAACCTTTGACCTGTACACTGAAAATGGCTGCTCTGTCTCAAACCTAGTTAGCCCACACACTCTCCTTCCAGCCAGTCAATGGACCCTCGTTATGTATAATCTCTCACGCATTCTAATCCTCGTGTTTTATTTATTGGTCTGTCATAATTCCTAAAAGAGGAAATAAGCCTCTTCAAAAAAATTCTCATACCTGATACACATATTTCCTAATCTTAAAAGAAGCATAACTTTAAGAATAATTTAGTAGGAAAGATTCTGCCCTTGGCGACTTCAGTTTTCAGCGTACAATGACACACGACAAGCTTTGAAAACTTTAGTAGCAAAGACAGCAAAACAGAAATTTGGTTTGCACAATGATGTATTATCTCAATTGGTTAGACAGTCTGATCAAGTATTCATACATGCAAGCAAGGGAAACCAAGTCAAGGAGTAAAAAATGTAGCAACATATTTGACACATGGACAAATGTAGTTTTCCTTCCTCTGCAGATGCAATTCTGCACATGGATCTCAAAATTTTAAATTCCTTGGAATCCACTTACTTCGGCAACAACTCTGCACCAAAATGACGCCATTTTCTGCAGGGTCTTTAGACAACCAACAGCTTCAGCGAGCTTAACGACAAAACCTTCAATAGGAGCACCATGAATATCCTTAATTAATGATGCTGTATTCGTATCTTCTTCCAAACTAGAGCAAGTCCTCCCCAAAAAATGTCCTACAAATATCTTGCATAAATTAAACTAAAAGCGAAGATCATCATAGAATAATGCAAAACTAAAAATAGTGAATCAGAATTTTCAGAAGACAAGACACAAAGAAAGAAGATGCTCTCCAGACTCCAGAGTATCCCGGCTATCTACCTGCATTTAGCAGTGAATTGATTAGAGAAAGAACTCTCTCATCAGCACCAAACTCACTGGCTATCCTATCTTCTTTTTCACGTAATACTATTGACTTCATTGCTGAGAAGCTTAAGCTAGCTCTCTCTCTGATAGGTGAAGAGCCTCTGGAAGAAGCAAGGAGATCCTTCATGGAGTTGTACACTAATCCAGCACTGAAAAGGTGCCAAAGGAAAACTAAGTACCATAGCCACTTTCAAACATACTTAATGAACATGTAAGAATTTCAATACATTGGCAACCATTTCATGAAATTAGAATAAATAGATTTTGCATATCAATTAATCCAGAAAGCTGGAGAGAGAATGATTCTCTTAAATAATTATTTCATAATATAGGAAGCTTTAACATGTACAAACCAAATGTTTCTCCATATAATAGCACATAAATAAAGATGAGTTGACTAGTTCTAAATACAATCTGACGAAGTAGGGAAGTTGAGACAATAAAACTCAATGATTCTAACCCTGAAAATTGTGTAAGTAAATAATCAGAAAAACTAAACAAAAATCGAGGAAGTTCCAAACATCACAAGATCTTACTCGATAGCCACAGCCAATTGTCTCACAACAGCTGATGATGGAATGATATCAGAGTTTACAGCATTTGAACCTTCTAATGCAACTCCCACTTTTGAATCCTGTAAGATATCAAACAATTGCAATAAACTACGTTGAAGAAACTGTTATTTCAGTTGAATAATAAAAATTATAAATACTTTCCAGTTTATTCAAAATTATGACTATTCAAACAAATAGATACAGTTGAAAAAGTCATTGTTAACTGAATAATTTCCAATGCTGTTATAAAAAATAGAAAATAAAAAATAAATCATAGCCAACAATGCCATGAAAATTATATTCACATTTCAACCAGTAAAAATTTATGTTAATATTATTCGCTTCTTAAGTGTTTCTGTGTATTGAATGAATAGGAAATCCCACATTCCAAGTAAATGCTTCCTATTATCCACATGCCGTGGCATAGTCTGTTTTCAGAATCTAAATAAAACAAGTTTTGAGAATTAGCAACATTATAAATTTTTGCAATTTCCATTAATGGAATGGCAGAATGAGTAACAAAAATTACATTCGACTTCCCCCCATGCATTGTGGATGAGTGAAGATGGCAATCAAACATTTACCTATGTGATAGTAAAGTATATGGAAACAAATACCTCAGATTCAGAGATTTCTCTCTCCCTCATGAAGTATAAATTTTCATCAAAAATTGCATATGCCATTGTGGAATTTTCTGTCTTCTCAGTATCCTCAGCTCCCTTTTTCCCTATTCTTATATTCCTTAATCTCTCGTGCCAGTCCTGTTTTGTTTTTATTGGCGCTGGCCTGCTCCTCTGATTCGTCAGTTCCTGACAACTCTGCACCATCAAATTACATTATGTACTCAAAGCAATGCATTAACATGATGCAGAAAAAGTCTAACACTACTCCGTTGAAGCAATTGAAAAAGAGTAATGTTATTTGTAAGCCCTACATATGGACTGCTGCAGGGTCTCCAAGAACGTTAGGATGCATTTTAATTCATTGGAGAATGTGACAATGACTCCACTTCCATGTGCATTCAAATTACATTATTCATTGAAAAATGACATGAATTGCCAATAGCTATACTTTTAAACTTGTGTCATGCAAATAAGACTCCATGTAGCTTACACCAAAAACAAAAGGAAACAACAACAACAACAGGAGGACGCAAGCAAACCAAATTGAAATATGTATTATAATTTTTCTACTGTCAAATATCAATAATTTAGAACAACGACCCTAAAATTTGACAAAACTGGCATAATTGCAAGTCGACATCAAAGTCAAACTTTAAATCCGCTTCCATGAATACAACTGGAGATCAAAGTCAAACTCTAAATCCACTTTCATCTCTCAATTTTCTGATCAACCCAAACACGAAACTAGCCGCATACAAAAAACTATCAAAATCCACACAGCTCGTTCTACATTTACCATAATCAAACAACGTGATCCAATTCAAATTCAAAGGAATTTAATCACCTTAGATTCATCCCCGTCCTTCGTATACTCCGGCCTCGATTCAATCGGCGATTGTTTATCTATATCCTCTACAATTCCAACCAATTTCCAAAATCAAATTAAAAAAAAAAAACAACGTGGATGAATTTTTGTAATGAATTCTTAAAATAGTAAATGAAATTATAGTGAGTGTGCCTCGATGGGTAATAAAATCAGATTTTTTAATGTCCGTGAAGACTTTCTCCGCTTTAGCCGCAGCTGAATGGAAGGCTGTCCTTGCTTTGGATACAAAAGATGTCTCCATTTCCTGCTCCGGCGGGTGCGTACGTTAAGCATCCGGACACGAAATCAAATTAGCTATGTTTAAAGAAGTACCGGCTGAAGTACACCACGGGTAGAGTCGCGTTTCTAAAGTCATCACACGCGTTTTGGGGTTTAACTAACGCGTTTAATATATTTAGACACGATTTGTCTACCATTATTCGATGAAAATGAGTTTTAAAATAATAAATTATTGGAGAAGGTTTGATTAAAAATAAAAAAAGATTTAATTTTACGTTCAAAATATTTTATTAAAAAAAAAGTTTGAAATAATGGTAGACAAACATAGGTTTAGTAGGACAGGATTTATTTAGAAATATGCACCTAATGTGTAAAAGAAATAAAATATGGGTTGCCTACCTAAACAAAAGAAATTAGAATACGAGACTAGTAAATAGCAAGTCGACTATCACATCATCGAATTCAAGCTTATTTTGCTCAAGTTCATTCACAAGTACTGATAAACTTGTATTACTCCCGTTTCAGATTATTGGGGCATTTTGTCATTGTCGTCTGGTAGCAAACATTCGTGCTAGATTTTTACCCAACAATGGGATTGCACAAGAAATAGGGTTGGGCATGGTCGGGTTGAAACCCAACTCATTCACTAAACCAACCCTTCGGGTCAATTTGATCGATTTCAAGACATTTTTCCTATTTAAAGTCCAATTTTCAAAAAATAAAATAAAAAAAATTGGACCATGTATCGAGCCAACTGGCAGAACACGATCCAAATCGACTCGATCCAAATCGATTCAATGGTTTAGGTGAACTTCATGATTAACTTGCACAATCCCATATACAAGTATTGATAAACTTTTACCTTTTTCAACATATAGATGCATTTTGTCTTCGATGTTTGGCAAGAAACGTTCGCTTTTGGCATCAAAATTTGTTAATTTAAAAACGTCTGATTAATTTCGATAATTGTCAATGCCCTACTTTTTTTTCAATATACTAATTGATTTATTTCTTAAACAACTTATTTAAATATTAATGGAATCTCACATCTATTATATGCTTTCAAGACCTCATCCATTCTTTGCAGTGGACTGAAGATACACAATTCTCATATGTTGATATTATATATGTAATATTAAATAAAATAAAATACTAAAATTAACATGATTGATTTCAACTTCTTTTTCATTTTTTTAATACCGAAAAATATATTTTACCTAACAAAAAAAGTGTACAAATATCGAAAATATAGATTGAATTACATTTCGAACATCAATGAATTTATACTTTGTGTTTAGTGTACATATTGTTGTATGCATTTTATATAGCAATCAATTGCTGGACAGTAATGGGTGTTACATGTGAACCACTAAAAATAATATCAATGAAAGTGCGAGCAGTTGTTTGTGTTGGATGATATATGTCCCAAAAAATATGATTACTTCTATTGGAACAATAATCAGAAACAGGCGTGCAAGGAAGCGCGGCTCTCAATCTCCCTAATCCACAACAAGCAACCTTAGTCTCATTGAAACCTGGAAAACCGAACTCATTTCTTAGATTAGATAAACATAATCTAAAAACGTCACAATAAGAAATTCATGAACAGTCTTCTAATGTTCTCGAAATCATTATTTGATTATGAGTTTAATACAACACATACCGTAAGTTGCGGGATTGTCGATAAAGTTTGTAAAGATACTATACGCATCAAGATAGGAGTAGTGCAAGTCCTTATGCTCCGATTTCAATTCTTGCAACATTGTTTGGAGTCCTATGTTGTACTTTTTGGACAAGGAATTCACCTCTTCATTGCATTCATTACTTGTACTTTGAAATCTTTGCTTTGGGGCGCAGCCAATTGGTGCTGTCCCAACAGCCAAAAATTTACGTGCCCCTAGACCATATAATCTCTGAATCCATAAAATTACTTTTAAGTTGTGAAAATTGAACTCTTAAATAATCGTGTACTGAATAACGAAATTTATGTTACCTTGAGCACCTCTTTGAGTGACGAAACCATGTGATTAACAAATTGTTGAGGAGAATTTCCAGATTTCGAAAAGTTAATTAGATCGTTGCTCCCGATTACGACTGGAAATAGTGATTTTGATAAGTGTTCTTGGGCATTGGCTGTTCCCAGTTTTTTCACAAGCCTTTGATGAACTAGAGAGAAATACCCTAGTTGGACTGGCAATGGAATTGTTTGCTTCTGAAATAAAGAAATAAATCGAGTTAGATTTCGCGTTTACGGCGATGTCTTAGTTGGGAGAGCGTTTGACTGGAGTCTGGAGATATGAAAGTCGCGTGTTCGATTCACTTACAAGAACGTCCTCATTTGTGGTGTTGAAGATTCCGGCTCCTCCCGAGGCGAAGCTTACACCTTTCATGAAAACATCGTTAGGTTGCGAAAGATATGGCGGGGCTGTCGATAGACCCAACTTCTCAGCTGTCAAACAAGACGATAATAAGAGGGAAAAAAAAAGGAGTTAAAATCTTGTTTATAGTTCTATATCTCCATCTAATTCGGTCGAGTACTAGTTAATGTGGCTTTAATGCATGAAAAGTCACCTAAGAAATCTGCAGAATTCTTGCCATTAGAAAACCTTCCCGTGGCTATTCCGCCGGGATAGTCGACCCCGTTGTGAGGGAAATCTGCTTGAAGAGCGGAGAGCGCTAAGTATTTGTTGTTGCCAACGTCGACTAGGGAGTCGCCAAACACGTACATTGCCGGCACGCTCTGCGCTTTCGAATAAGAATTAGCGAAATAAAGGACGAGGAAAAAGAGAAAAAAGCAAGAAAAATTGGCCATGATAGAGATTATGATTAATTTTCCCTCTTTATCTCAGAAAGTTGATGGAATAATCGAATTTGTTTGGCTTTTAAAGGGATTGTGAGAAGTTAAATAATCAATTATTTTCGCATAAGCAGATTTAACCTTGATTGAATTCAGTTTTAGCTTCTTCAGATTTCTATACTATTTCTTGTATTTAGCCATGTTTGAAGGTGACGTTCACACATGGAATCAATCTTGTATTCAAACTTCAAAGTGAATGAGTTATAGATATTATATACTTTATAATAAAGGGATAAAACGCACCAACTAAGACAAATAATAGATAAGTTCCGTTTTTAATAAATTTAAATTCGAAATTACATGTATTATTCACTATTACAACATTCAAAGTAATGGTCATATTAATTTTAGTTCGTTTGACACGTTCTGTCTCGCCAATTAAATTTTGACACATCATTGTAAATTCGAGATTGAGGCAACAAATTTGGACTCATTGAAATTTTATTTTGGGTTACATTGTCGAGTGAAGTGATTGGACGAGTACCTAATGTTATTTTGTTAGCACATGAAATATTGACTCATTTTTTAGTCTTATGCTATTCCAAGTTTTTTGGGTTTTTTACACATTATTTGTATACAAGTCAAAGGAAAGTACAGACTACAATGAATTTATAAAAAAAAAAAAAAGGTTGAACCCCAATCCTAAGGGCCCCCACCGACCCTGCCCTGGGCCATCGTGGAGGAGGTAAATCGCAGGATGTGCTTCCCAGGAGCCAGAGTGGAGAGCACATGGATAGGCCAAGGCTGTTAACCCATATGGTAACTCCCGCTTGCAACAAAGCCAATTCCACATTGCGGGGAATCGAACTCTGCACACTGCCGCGCTGAACCCTATCCGCTCTCCGCTTTGCCGTTGGGAGATATGCCCTGGGGGCGACTACAATGAATTTATAATTATATGTCATGTCTTGACTAAGTTATATAAAATTTGAACCAACCTTGAGGCACAGGGTAGAAACCCCTACCGAGCACTCACATTATGCGAGGTGGACGGGTTTTTGACCAATTTTTTATACAAGTGATTTTTTACACAAGCGGGTCCTACATGGGACCCACCTACTGTGAGATGTTGGTGAACCCCTACCCGATAAAACAGCAAAACTCATAAAATTTCTTCCAACATCATGCTCTCGTATAGACTTCCTTATATTCTTAATCTCGCGCGAGTCTTCCTCGTGCTCATGCTAGCAAATAGCAATCAAGTGTCAGCTCTCATTCTAACATTATTCTAAATAATATAATCGATTTAGGGTAATGGGTTCCAGAGAGGTCTTCTCCTTGCGTACACTGGGTTCTTCCTCCAAGGAGTGGCTCCATAAATTTGTATCATTAAAAAGCACCCTTTTAACTTACATAGATTCTTGTCTATCCAAATATGGAATTAAAATGAGACAAGATAAGCATCAGATAGATGGTAACAATGAATTCTAAAGAAGTGTAAATCTTTTACATCTAGTCTCATCAAAGTTCATACTTGAAAGAAATATAACAATAATTCTACTAACCAACAAGAAAATATAATGAAATCTCAAAGTAGCACGATATAACTCATTGAGCACAAGTAGAAGCAGAAGGAAGGATTGAAAGTACTAAAAACCGATGTGAATTGAGGTTTAAGAAATATCTACACCCGATCATCTTGCTTTAGATGCTGCTTGATGATCAATTTGAAGCCATCTTCTGTGCTTCCCTTATGAGCCAGAATTTGCAGGTTACAACAAAGTACCAAAACATCAAATGGCTTCAAATTTTCAAGAACATTTGGAGCTCGATCATAATCCTAAAAGGACAAAATATTATTCCGTTCAGTTATGAATTCATTGCATAAACAAGATGCCCCATCCAGGAAAAAAGTTAACCTCACCCCTTTCGGTGAGTATCAGGTTACAATTTTATACAGGAAATATATTTCAAAAGAGGTATGAACGATATACAGAGGTGGTTTAATTTGATGCTTCTTCTGAAATAAATTGCCAAGGATCCGCTCACCTTTTCAGTTACAATGACAACTGGTTTAGTAGCAAACTTGGATTCAAGTTCTTCAAGTCTTGCACTTATCATGTCAAGGTCCTACGTTTAAGGAAACATGAAAGTTATTTGAAACTACCAAATGAATGGAACATCAATGAACATTGAAGAAAGTGGAAGATATGGAACAAAAGCAATTAAATTGTGGTTTTAAGGAACATCAACTCAGTCATAATATCCTCGTAGCACAGAAATGATGATAGAGACAAAGCTTATATCAGAAGACAAAGATACCTCGAGTTGAAATAAATGGTGGTCACTGAAGTCTAGCCGATCTACAATTGTTGGTCCCATCTACAAAGAGTTAATCACCATTAGAATCGTAAAGTACTTTGGTACTTCAAATACACAACAAATTTTTGTGTCAAATTTTTATCTCAAGATAGTCAAGTATCTGCACAAATACACTTGAGTCCGTTTGATTGTAAAGATGGAATTTGGGTGGAAAGAAAACGAATTCCAGTGAATTGAATTGTCTAGAAATTGTTTTCCTGAAAATTGTAAATTATTGTATTTGACTAGTATAATTTTCCACTTAAAAAATGTTTAAATAAAAGTGTTTTTTTGTGTTTGTTTGGTTTTGTTTTATATGAAAATTGTTAACCCTGTTCACGGTGGGCAAAAATTATGTTACCCACCTACCCACATCGGCAGGTCAAACAAATATTTTTTTTTTTTTTTTTTTTTTCCCAAAAAAAAAAAAAAAAAAAAAAAAAAAACTATCTTTTGGTGTTCGTTTGACTTTGTTTTACATGAAAATTGCAAATCAAATGGAAATATTTTTTTACAATAATTCTTAAAATTTGTTTCCATTGCCAACAAAAAATAAAATAAACGAAAAAAAAATCTTCGAAAATGAATTCTCACCATTCCAAAACATGGAAAATCTTTATGTGGCATAAAAATGTGGAAAATGAATTCCAAGGAAATTTTTGTCAATCAAACACCCAAAATATGGAAAGTTGGAATTCAAATTCCATTTTCCATGGAATTTCCTTGCTATCAAACACACCCTTAATTAAAATAAGAAAACCGAGAAAGATTACCTCCTCTATCCTCTGAATGAAGGAGTCAGCAAATCCGATGCCAGAAACACATAATACAATCTTATTGTCTACAACATTCAGTGGAATTCTACTAGACATGTTTCCAACTCTCAAAAAGTGTGACGGAGCCATTTTAGTGAAGAATACAGGGAGAACCTTTTGAACTTCTCGAATTGTTGATTCAAGGGCTTCAATATCATGTTTTGCAACCTGTAAGGCTCCTTTATATTATAATCCATGGTATATCTGAATTTTACTACTTGTTGTGCAAACAAAAATATAATATTTGCATATACCATGAGGATAAGGGAAATTGAATGAATAAAAGACAGAACTAGATGGGTAAATGTTTTCATACCAAGTCTGCATGATGGATGACAATGATATCTGCTCGGTTGAGTGCAGTCAAAGGTTCCCTTAGAGGTCCAAGTGGAAGTAATTGACCATTTCCCCACGGCATCATTGCATTCACCATTACAATCTCTAGGTCACGCCATAAACTCAGATGCTGTCTTCCAAATAAGAACAGTTCACAAACATGAGCGAGTCAAATCCAACCTTATGTTAGATATTTAAAATTTTATGAATGATCTACCTGAGAAGTCCAACTTCAAAAATATGCAGAGACAATCAAGAAAGGTGATCGATACAATATATTAGTGAAAACTTGAAAATAACAGAAATTACAAAGCATCAGTGTTGAACAGGCTCTCATATGCAAAATTGCAGAAAACCAAGGAAGTTCTAGTCTCCTCCTCCTCAAACTCCCATTCACCCCGAATGAGAGAGAGTTGAAGGAATAATAGTTAAGGATTTAATAATTTCGAAAGAAAAATCCAAGTGCATGGTTAGTGTTAAGTATGATGAACAAGATTTTAGCTTCGTTTCTTCCTTATTGTTGTCCATACTCTCTAATCCACCCCACTAAACATGCCATAAGCCATATATTGGAGATGTTGGACATGAATGCTAGCATCAATCTTCTGAAACTAAATGGAACCAATACCTGCATTCCATCATCTAGGATTGCAGCACCAATATGTCCTGAGTTAGAATGATTGTTCACTTTTTCATGGGACAGAAGCCTCTCATAGTATGTACTATTGTGAAGATTCATGTAACCATATTGTTTAAGAAAGCTATAGGCGGTGGCAGCTCGATTTGCACCCACGCCAATCTTAGCAGATGTCCCACACAGATGCCTCTGAAGCATTTTAGCTTCATCCGCACCACCATAACCCTGAAAAAGAGAAAATCTTTCCCACTTTCCTATTTTAAGAAAATTGCAAATGAATACGGAAAAGTCCATCATTACATAGGCATAAGGATTCTTTACAAATTGCACTTAGATGTCTTCAATGTCTTAGAAACTCGAGGAACAGTGAAGAATCAAGTAGGAGGATAAAGGTTCCGTCTATCTAAACTTGACATTGATAAAATACTCTATAACGCCAATTATACATAGCTAAAAGCAATTTAAAAGGTTATCACCTCGTGCAACCCTGCAAACTGCCAAAAAAATGGAAAGAAAGAAGAAAGGAGGGAGAGAGAGACCCTTGTAAGAATAAGAGGAGGTATTCCAGTATCGGCTAACAAGCGCGCAACAAACTCCACCATTGGAGTCTTTCCATTGCCTCCCCATGTCAAATTCCCAACACTAATCACTGGCACTGGCAACCTTACCATTCAGTAATACAAAAAACATAGTATCAACAGCATTTATATATTAAAAATCATCATTATAATAATAAATGTAATCCCACAAATAAATCAAGAAACTGGAAATGAAAAAGTTGAAAACTTTCAGGGTTTTCGGTATCCAAAAGGGCAACAGACTCCAGTAAGCCTAATGGGAAATAAGCAGTAAAAAAAGTCTAATACGGATGCTTTCTTCAACATTTTATTATAGTACATCCAGAAAAATTGTGGAAATTCAAGAATTTACCGATACACGGTGAGGAGGTTGAGGCGGAATAGGCGGTGGCGGAGGGAAATAGCGAACCTGTAGAGATTGGAAGCCAAGGAGAGAAGTGGGATCAGAGAGAGTTGCAGCGGAGACAAACTGGAGAATCTTTGAGAGAGAGGCGTATATGCTACTTGGTTCACTGCTCTTCTCAGTTTTTCCATTCAAGAATCGAATGAGCAGAGGGGAAAAGCAAGGAAATCATTGGAACGAGTTAATTAGTTCCTGCAAGAGTTTCGCTTATGGGAACTAGAGCCTTTGTAATCGGGCAAATACATGAAATTGATCCAAATAAAATAAAAGATGCCATTTTTCAAATTAACTATTGACTTTTTTAAACAATTGTAACTATCTAAAATATCCTTAAATAAATATTAAAAATAACCTATTTCATAATAAAAATCTTTTATTTAAGTCTTTAAAAAATTAACAAGTAATTTTTCTAAAAATTTGAAAGAATTATTAATTTTTATGAATAATTATAAAATGAAAAAATCCAAATATAAGAGAGGATCATATAATATAAAAAAGATTGTTAAAAATAAAAAAGAAATTAAGTTTGAACAAGAAATTAATAAGATAGGATATCAAGAATAATTATATGCATCACAAGAAATATTAAAATGTTTCAAAGAAAACTTATTAGAAAATTTTACGAAATGAATTGTAAGATCAATAATCATAAAAGATATACAAGATATCATAAACAAATTAGAAAAAATAAAGAAAAATATCTCAAAATATATACCTTTTAGAACAGAATAGGTATGATAACAGACATTGATATTATAAATTCTCAAACATTACTAGATTTTGAAGAATTACTTAAAAACTTATGAAAAGACCAATAAAAAATAGATTACCACAAGCATACAAAAAATTAGTTTTTAACCTTACCTTATGATTTTATATACGCTTAATAACAAATAAATTAACTAAAACAAAGATAAAAGAATTTTTAGAATATTAGATTCTTAGATTTTTGTTCGCTCATAGTAGCACCCATCTTGTTTGTATCAGAACCATATAGATCATGAAAAATCATAAAAATAAATAATTATTATCAATGTATTGAAGAAAAAGGATGTTATATATTTTTCAACCCTATCCCTAATAAATTAAAAATAATAACATTATATGTAATTAGGAATTTACCTAGAGAAATAAATGAACAAATATTACATAAATTAATTGTAGGATTTATCAAAGATAGACGAACATATGAAATAATTATCGAAATATTTGAAAATGAATTATACTTTAGAGAAATATTTGAATCATTATAAAAATATAATAGAAGAAACTAAAAATATTTTAGAAAAAAAGTTAAGAAGAATAAGATTAATAAATAATAAAATTTTAGATGAATTATTAATACCTGGAGATATAACTAAAACTCAAGAAAAACAAATATTAAAATTAAAACAAGAAACGTATAAAGAAAAAGCAATGTATTATGAAAAATTAAAAGAACTAACAAATATTGAAGTTATAAAACAAAAGTATAATAAATTGATAAGAGATTGTAAAAATGCTGAGTATATAGCATTTTATTACTGTTAATCAAAAAATTGATAAAAGAAAATGTCAATTAGTGAACATATGGAAGAATTAAACATTTAATAAGAACATTAATAAATGATGTACAAGAAATAAAGAATGAAATAAAAGAAGCAAGAAATGATATAAATATATTGAAACTTGAAGTCAGAAAATTAAACGAAAATGAAGAAAAGAATAATATAATAGATAAAAATTTATAGAAAAGGAAATAACTAGAATAGGGAAAAAACATATTGAAAGAAAAAATATAATAATAGAAACAGGAAGCATGGATGGCGAATTTAGAAAAAAATATATTACCTAAAATATTAGAAAAAGAGGAATCTAGAGAAAAAATGATAGGTAAACAAAAAATTGAAGAAAACCAAGACAAAGAGAATGAATGAAGAATTAGATCTATTTATAGATAATTTTGATCATTTAAGTTTAGAAAGTATAGATGATGAATACCAAATCTTAATGAATACTGGAAGAGGATATAATCCCGTAGGAATCTCTAAACAATAATCAATAGATCCAGATGAAAGTTATGCTCCTATGTATAATAAATCATATAGACAATTTTATGATAAAATTAGAGAAAAACAAATGCCTAAAGGAAATAAATATAGTAATAGATTTGAATTAAATAATAATTATTTTAAACCTGTTAACTATGAAGGAACAAAATTCGACTTAGATTGCAAAATAGACACTAAGAAAGCCTTAATAACTTGGGCAGATTTAATGATATTATTCTTTTTATATAATAAAGATGATACATGGGAAAATACTGAAAGAAAAATAGATTTTTTAATTGCATCTTTTGAAGGAAATGTCAGAAATTGGTGGAAAGGAATTAGTAGTGATACAAAATCATTAATAAAAAGAAATGTACAAACAAAAATAATGAAGTCAGATAAACTAGGAATAGAAAGATTAGTAGAATATATTGCAGATGAATTCTTAGGAGAAAATTGGTTAAGAAATTATGAAGAAGAAGCAATACGAGAAAAAAATAATGCAAGAGTTAAGTTAATTAATTTAACAATTTGCGATATGTGTAAAATAAAAGAATATACTTGTGAATTCAAGGATTACTATTATACTCAATTTTATAGTAATGAGAATCAAGAAGTATATCAAAATATGTATTACAATAAATTATCAGGTTTATGGGCAATATATTTTAAAATAGAATTTGAAAAATATATTAAAGAAAATATAAGAATACCTAGAACATCATGATCAAGAATAAAATTCTTGTTTGAAAGACTTTCATATATATGTCAACAAAACAATTATTGAAAAAATTAGGAAAATTAACTAGAATATGTTGTGAAAATATGGAAAAACCTACAAGATGGGAATGTAATTCTGAAAAATAAAATAAAATAAAGTATAAAAAAGGAAAGTTTAAAAAATACAGAAACTTTAAGAAAAAATACATAAAACCTGGAAGGAGATATTATAAAAGGAAAAATAATATACAAAAAAATAAACATTATAAGAAAGATAAAAAAGCAATATAAGTATTGGAATTGTGGAGAAATAGGTCATAAAAGTCCTGATTGCACAAAGAAAAAAGTGAAAATATTACAAAATGATTATTTTGAAATAGAAAGTGAATTAAGTGAAATATCTGATATTAAACATTACAATAATCAAAAAATATTTATAAGTGAAGCAGATTCAAAAGATTATGGATCAGAATCTGAATAGAGAAATTGAAGAAATAGAAAATAATAATATAGAAATTCAAGAATATGAGGGAATAGAAGGTTATGAATTAAAAGTAACTTTTGATAATAATAAATTTAAGAAAATACAGAAGTTATCCCTAGATTTGAAAATAGGAAAATGGAAAATTCTAGATAGAATATGGAGAAGTGAAAGAATAGCAATAAATGAATACTATAAGATTGAAAAAACTATAGATGTTAGGACTACTCAAGGAACACATAAAATAAATTTTTTAACAAAAAGTACAGTATCAGAATTATTATAAAAAATAAGTAAAAAATATAGTGAAAAGTTCCATTATGTTTATTTAGCAGGAATACAAATAATGTTTAAATCCTTATTTAGGGAAGGAATAGATTCACCATTAACTGTAAGTTTACATGATGGAAAAATTATAAATCTGGAAGATGGTCATTTAGGAACTATAGAAGGAAACTTAATATATCAAAAGTTAATATTTACTTGCTACCCAAAATATTGTGTCTCATTGAAGGATAAAAACTTTAATAAAGTCTTTTGATTACATTTCAAATTACATATAATGGAACCAAGAGACCAAATTATGACTATGGAATATAGGGCATTATATACATTTACTAATTCTGATTATGAGAATATTTATTCCAATAAATCATACATAGAAATTCATAAGGAATGTAAGGATATTAGTAAAATAGTGGAACCAAACAAACAAATAAATCTTATTCTAGAAGAATATGAATTTAATATAATTAAAAATAAGCCTGAAATAACAGAGTTAAGAGAAAAAGAAGAAGAAGATTATGAAATAATATTTCACAATGGAAGGTTGATAAAGAAATCAAAAAGTCTTAGACTACCTAATAAAAAGGAATATTTAGGATAAATTAGTGGTATAAAAGAAATAAAATCTCATGGAAATATTGGAAATATGAAAATAGAAGGAAAATATTTCAACGGTAGAAGATATATAAAAGGACCAAATATATTAATAGATACAGGAGCTGATGAATGTCATATGGCTGCAAATAAAAATGAGGGATTAATGACTTACAAGATAAAACCATATGAATACAAGAATTTTGATGGACAACTATATATTATAGAATTAAAGGTAAAGGTACCAATAAAATAGGAGGGATTGATCTTTTAGTACTATGTTATTTGGATGAAAGTATCGATATTGAACCTCATATATTATTAGGAATGAGTTTCTTAAATGAATTAGAAAATTATAGTATAAAAAGATAAGGGTTATATATAACTCATAAAGGACACACTACATTATGTAAAATAGGAAGTGGATGAATAATCAAATAAGTTTTTCATTAGCAGTATATATACGAGTTACTGTAGTTGAAACAAATATAACAACTTGTGGCTTAATTGATACAGGAAGTGATATAACAATTTTTAAAAATTTCTTAATAAAATCATGGAATAAAAATAGTAAAATAAAAATAACAGGAGTGACTGGAGAAAGCACTAAAATAATTGACAGTGCTGAAAAAGTTAATAAAATACTTGGCAGTAAGTAGGTTATAATAAATAAAGTATACAATTATAATAAACGAGAATGTGATATATTATTAGGAAATGACTTTATTCAACAATTTCAATATTATAAACAAAATAATTACATGATAATGTTACAAACACCTTGTGCACATCTATTAAAAATACCAAGAGAATTTAGACCCTACAGAGTTCAGCCAACTCAGCGTGGTGATAAATGAGAAAAACGACTAATAGTACAAGATGAATTAAAAAATAAAAAATTATCATATAAAAAGATCCTAAAAACTGAAATAGAAATAAGTATGGAAAAAATCATAGAACAATTAGAGAAAATTTATGGAGAAAATTCATTATTATTTTGGAAATCATATCATCCTAGAGCTAAAATAGAATTAACAGAAAATGTTATAATAAGAGTTAGACTAATGATGTATACCTTACAGGATATGCAAGAATTTAAAATTCAAATAAA